ATGACTCTTGCGTCAGAACTTCTCTTAGTTTTCGTTTAGCCTTTTGTTGTAAAAAAAAAAAAAAATCAAATGTGTTTTCATTTTTTCTTATATGAATGTGAGATCATTGTTTTGGAGTTTTACATATCGTAACTTAATAAATTATCAATTACTGTTACTTGATACGACACGAAAAGTGTATTCAATTAAAAGTTGATTTGTATTAAAATGATAGATTTATTATTATTTAAATATAAATTTTAAATTCATTTTAAAACCTTACTTATTAAAATATTTAGGTTAGAAATTTTTTTGTACTGATTTTAGACTGTTTGAATAAAAATTAGTAATTAAAATAATAAAAATTCAAATTTCATAGTTTTAAAAATATTTTGAGTGCTTTAATAAAAATTGTTTTATTTTTCTAATTCATATAAAATAATTAAAAATTTATTAAAAATCAAATCACCCCTTGAAACTCACTCTTTCGACCAATAGTTCAATCGATTTAGGAAAAAAAACATTAAAAGAACCGACTTCAACAAATTCGTATTTCAGTTTAATAAGTAGAGTTGGAAACTGAAATATCAAAGACTAGGGTAAGTTCGCGCTTCGCGCGGGAGTTTATTCATTATATTTTCTTTTATTTTAGTTTAAATGATTTTATTTAACTACATATGGAACGTTATTTTTGTAATTTCTTTTAATATTTAATCCTTCTTGTCTGTTAAATTCGTTTGTTGTAAAAGACTCAAAATCAGTGTCATTAGGGTTAACTAAAATTTATAATATAATCGTTGCGATTATTAATGAGGCCATGTTCTATGTTTAATATATTGGTATGACTTATTAATCTGTATGTTTTAATATAAGTCGGTCACTTCAGACTAAAAGACTCCGAGTCCGCCTTCTTACCACTCGACCACAATCACCCGGTCAGTTTGACTAAATTTTTGCTAATCCAAAGAACAACATACATTGAATTATTAAACACAGTTTCAAACCATAATGAATGGACTAACAGAAATCTTCAAAATACAACATGGAAAAATAAAACAATACCTTAATCTTAAGTATGATAAAACAATACCTTAATCTTAAGTCTGAGAAGCTGTTTCAACAAAAGGTTAAAAACCCGAAGTTAGTGCTCGACTAAATATAGAATCGTAAACCAATGCACATTCATGAATTAAAATACAAACTTTACCAAAATCCTTCCACCTGAACAACCCATGGAACTTCAACCAAACATATACCCAAAACTGATCGCCCGTATGTCGTAACCATGCTCGGGATGCATCTGAAAACACATAATTGTATTCTTCTCCTCTGGGGAGTAGGTGATGACGGCATAAAGCATTTAATCGCCAATATAATAATATCCGGCGACTCAACAGTTTCTCCTTTCCACATATCAACATCTTCTCATTTCCTGCTGAGGCACAACAATCACATGTTGTTGTCCAATCAAAAAAGCGGTGAAGGCTGTTGTTCCACATGAAGCACTAAAAACTAGGCCTGGGCATTTTACCCGGACCCGAAGACCCGACCCGAAACCAGCCCGAAATGTGCGGTTCGGGTAGGAATCGAACCGATCATTTTACCCTATTGGGTCTTGATGTGGAGGACCCGCGGGTCTTGAACCCGAACCGACCCGAATCCGAGACCCGATGGGTACCCGAAATATCCAAAACATCTAATATATATTATGTATATATATATATATATGTTTTAGTATTTTTATGGTATTATGAGTATTATTTTATGTTTTGGATTTAGGTTTTCGGATATAATTACGGGTTTTAAGTAAAATTTTAGGTTTTTTTAAAATATAATTCGAATAATCAGATAAAATTTTGGATATTTTTATGTATTCGTGTTAGGTTTTGTGTAAAATTTTGGGTATTTCTTGGGTATTTAAATATTTTCCAGTATTTTTTGTGTGTTTTAGGTATGTTTTTGGGCCATACCCGGTAGGACCCGAACCAAATCCGACCCGAAACCGAACCGAATCCGAACCAATAAATTTTAATTACCCCATTGGGTCTAACTATATAAGACCCGAACCGACCTGGACCCGGTAGGACCCGAACCGAACCCGAACCGACAAAGTCTAATTACCCTATTGGGTCTAAATATCTAAGACCCGAAGGACCCGGACCCGACATAACCCGACCCGAACCCGATCCGNCCGAACCAATAAATTTTAATTACCCCATTGGGTCTAACTATATAAGACCCGAACCGACCTGGACCCGGTAGGACCCGAACCGAACCCGAACCGACAAAGTCTAATTACCCTATTGGGTCTAAATATCTAAGACCCGAAGGACCCGGACCCGACATAACCCGACCCGAACCCGATCCGAACCGGAAAATGCCCAGGCCTACTAAAAACTCTTTCTTCTTCTATGGCCAGATCAGATTGCCTATAACTTTTCTGGCGGTGAGATCTCTCCGGTTCTTGCAAGAAAGAGGTGGTCACAATAAAGGACGATTCAGCGTCTTCAAAGAACAATCTTGCTGCATTCTATTTTATATATCATGATGCCTCAGATTCACCATGGCCACCAATCACACCGTACAAAGCAATAGGCTCTGAAAATCAGAAAAAAGGAAGACCCAAGATAAACACAGAGGTCGTCTATGTATATGACCACCAATCACACCTTATCTGACTTTGTTACGCCTTAGATCATCACTCATCGAAATTTAAGGGATTTTCAAGGGGAAAAAAACTTACCTTTATAGGTGTAGATTCACCTCCTTGCTAAGAATGTCAGATCATGGTTAGTGTGAATACTCCAAACGTTTTAATTCATTGTGAATACTAAACGACTCTATTGAAGACCCACAAAGATATCCTTAACACTGATTGTAGCCACTCAACCTCTGGAAACTTCATTGTTGGTGTCAAAAAACTTCCTCGTCATTGGAGATCGCAGAGGAGAACAAACCTTAATATCTGCGTGAGGACGATGAAGACTATATACACTTTTCTTGTAATAGGGTTTGAAACTGAGTAAAACAGAAAGCCTAACCAATTCTTTATATATTAAAGAGCAAGTGGCTTGACGAATCAGATTCTACCACATAATGAATAATTACAATTTTTAAAAAAATTATTAGAACAAGGTAATGACTAGAAAAAAAAATTGAATTCTAACGGTTACTATAAACTACACACACGGTCTTTTCTTTGCTCATCATCCTTCTTTCTCATAGTCTTAGTTCTCTCAACTTATTTCCTACAGAAACTCCCGATAGAACAAAACAAAATATTAAAAACCTATTCTCCTTCAATTTCAAAATTCTAATTCATAGTTGGCGTCATATTGAATGGTCAGAACCAGTGCTAAGATCAATTTCTAAGTAAGAATTTCAACAGCCTATATTTCCCAGTGATGCTATCATCTTCGTTTATACAGTTTAATTTGTTGGCTACTGCAAAATACGACCTTGCTTCCGGTTTAGGGCTATGAAAGTTCAAGAAAGAGCAGCCATGGTAGATTTGAAGAGCTAGAAATTTGACTCGCGAATGTTTGTTTAAAAGAAAAGAAAGAAAGAGGAGAAGGATGAAAAAAAAAAGAGGAGAAGGATGGAAGTCTACCACAACAGCATGCAAACTTTTGTAGAATAAAAAAAACGGCTTTTGATAAAGGGTAAATGCTCTTCATGTGTACACTTAAATATATTTACGTACATAATTCTAGGGGCTAAAAGAAACTGAAACATGGAAAAATCATTATGCTTATGTGATTTTTATGATTATGTGCAGCTATTCACTTATATTTATAATTTTATATTTCTTTTGTGGGCAAACATGTCAAAATATAATATGTGATAATTACTTATAAGTTTCACTTATAGTATAATTCCTTATACTATGCTTTCAAAGTAACATGTGAGTAAAAATATTAATCCACTTTTCAAGGTTTAGTTTTTTTTATATATGGTTTAGTTATGTCTGGCATGAGTTTATAATTCGTGTCTTATATATATATTCAAAATTTATAGTAGCATACATTAAGTAGTAAATTAAAGATCACATGTTCTCAACCTAAAAAGTTTAATAACGTTGACTAAATTATTATATTCCAATATTATATACGTGTCAATTTTAGTTAACTAAAATGTGTTTATTTTCAATCAAAAATATTCTCATGTGAAGCATGGAGTCAATACTAGTATTAGAAATATATAGTTAATGAAGCGAAGCATTCTAAATGAAATGACAGGTATTGCACTAATAGGCATCAAATTGACGGTCCGTAAAGTGAGAGAACTCTATTTTATATATATGGATTGAATGTAACAATTATTAAAAGAAAATTGCTTAAATTAGCATTTTCTTAATATTTTTATTTTATCCATAGTTGTAAAGAAGTATTAAAAATATTTATGGGTTTAAGTTTTAGAAGGTAAGATTTAGAATTTTAATAAAAATTTAAATAAATACTTAAAATGAAAAAAATTAAAAATAGTTTTAAAAATATTTTAGAATTTCAAAAAGAAAATTCAGAAAAAAAAAAACAAATTTTGAAAAGTAATAATTCAAAAACTTTTTAAAAAAAAAAAACTTTTCGTAAAATTTTTATCTGAATAATTTTTTTTTTATCAAATATGTAAATAACTATTTATATTTAAAAATTAATGGTATAAATGTTTTTTAATTTCTTAATGAAGTCTCATAAAAATTTAAATAAATACTTAAAATGAAAAAAATTAAAAATAGTTTTAAAAATATTTTAGAATTTCAAAAAGAAAATTCAGAAAAAAAAAACAAATTTTGAAAAGTAATAATTCAAAAACTTCTTTTAAAAAAAAACTTTTCTTAAAATTTTTATCTGAATAATTTTTTTTTTTTATCAAATATGTAAATAACTATTTATATTTAAAAATTAATGGTATAAATGTTTTTTAATTTCTTAATGAAGTCTCATACTTAATTATTTTTGAAAATATTCATTTAAAGAAAGTAAACATGAATAACAATACCAAATGGAAAGTAAAAATGAAATTTGCCCATTTTTAAACTAGATAAGACACGAATCATTGACTTTGCATGTTTCAGATCCAGTGCAACACTTGCAAAATAAAAAACGATGAAGCAAGATACAGAAGATACCGAGCATCGAAAAGGAAAGCATGCGTATACAAAAATCAACAACGATGAGACAACTCACCAAAGACAAGTACACACTCTCAGTTTCGAAACATTGATATTACTACCTGTTAAGTAGATGAATTTTACTGATAGAGAGAGAGTTAGAGACTAAGCGAGTTTAGCAGACGTGGTCATAACTCATGAGTCCACTAACCTTTGGTTTCTGAGAGCCAAACCTGTTCTTACTTGTTGTCATCTGCATCTGTTTTAACGGTTTTCTCTTTCTCTTCATCTTCTTCTACTTCTTCCTCGTCGTAGTACTTTTCGTCTTCATCCTCGTCGCTGCCCATGTCATGGTCAAAGTATTCTTCATAGAATTGATCGTCTGTGTCATCATCCTCACCGTTCTCCAGCTTGTTTCTAGGAATTTGTTTAATCAACCTCTCCTGGATACTGTCTCTGATTGCAGTTCCCTATTAACATTTCACGAAATTGTCAATTTTAATCAAAGGTTTCACGGAAGTTGAGTAATAACCTATTAACGTATGTATTGTTAGCTGATAGTGTCGCACAGTTCCACTTACCATCTTATGGCAACCTTCTTCAAATATTTCAAGAAATCCAGCTACCCATCGATCTGCATTCTCCACCCACTCGTTCCGGAGCAATTTTACAGTTTGGATCTGGAAAATCCAGGTTTAGACATTAACAAAGGAGCAAGAACAGGTACTAGAGAAGTTTCAAGCACAGTGGATACAAGTGATGATATTATTTTAATACTTGCCACCACTACTACATATAATAAAAGAAGCAAGTCTTTTTGGTTTTGGACTTTCAAAGACGAACGGATTAATTAACAAACATCATTTCTTAATGCACAATGAGAAGACCAAAACCAGCAGAAAGAGATAAGAGGGGGTGAAAATGGTTATTTAAAAGAATGAAAAAACAGTCAAAATGATAGATTTATGATGATCAGTTAAGCATATTGAAAGTTGGAGAGAAGACATACCTTTTCTCCCACTTTTTCTTGTTGTTCTTTGACCCTCTCCTGGAGTTTCTTTAGCCTCATATTAACTCTAAGTCTCTTTTCCTGTTTCACATCGATAAACCCAAAGCTGACTCCTCCAAGTAGAAAAATGAAGAGGTAAAAAGAAAAGGATGATGACATGCCTTGACAAAGCTAACTCCAAGATCTTCCCTCGAATATCCTCTATCCAGATTACGCATGACATACTGGTTGTAATCTTTTACTATCCTCATTATTATGTCAGAGGTCGATATTCCTTCAGTTCGCATAGTCTCCTTAAACCTTCCAACTTTCTTAACCTGCATCAAGATGCTCAGTCAAACCAGAAATAGCAAAATCAGGAGTATGATTCAAAATTCTACTCACAAATTCATAGACATCTTTTCCAGCTCCACTGGTGTCAGCATACCTGTGGATAACATTTGATTTAAACAAGGAAGAGTATAAACTAACAGGAACTAGGTGAAGACTGACACAAAAAAAGAAACATGTTCTTACGGAAGGGAATCATGGGCTACATAATCAATCCGGTTATTGTCAAGAAACTCTTGGTTGATCACCCATGGTGCATCCGGGATGACTTCATCCACCCATCTGTATAACAAAACACACTTGCCTAAAACTTCCACATCTATTATTGCTTATGCTATAATAACACATGAAAAGGCAATTACTTGCAATGTCGAAGTGATTCATATCTCTCTTCGGCAGTCATCACAGTCCTTCCCTTGTACTTATGTGTAGTTTCATCGTTGCAACATCCAACTAGAAGGTAAGTGTTTGGAAACCTAAAGAAAATGGCAAAAAAAAAACCATGAGAACAACACGAGACCATTAACTTACCTACAACTCGATATACAAAATCAAAAATCGAAGCACCAGAGATTCAGAAACATTAGCTATTTCAAATTCACAACAAAACGAAACATTTTACAAAGAGAGACCCATCCAAATCATACACCACAATTGCTTTGCACATCACAAACCTTGGCAGTAATATCAATCAATCAACAGATCACATATCAATACTGACTCAGAGACGCTGAATTAGTCAAATCAATCTAAAACTGGAGATAAGATGGTTGTTACTAACGATTTCTTGGCCTGTTCGAGAGATCGAGCGTGACCGAAGTGGAAGAGATCGTAGATCCCATCGGCGTAGACACGGACGGGGCGATCAGTCGGAGGCGAACTCTGGATTTCTGTGGAGACGGGGAGTGAGACGGCGGTGGAAGGGAGGTCTGCAGTGCGATCGCCGGAAACGTTGCTCATGTTTTCCCGATGGAAGAGACGAAAACCACGCGCCTTGTGATTTTTTTGGTTAAACCACGCGCCTTATAATATGAAACGGAAAACTTACAACAAGTGATAATCGCTTCCCTCTTCTCTCATCAATTTGAGCCAAGGATATCTATCTATCCTCACGAGATAATGATTATTAATTATTCTTATTCTTGTTTTATACTAAACGTAAATTTTATAAACTAATAGAATAGTACAGTAAATTAATATTTTATTTCAACTTAAATATAGCTAAGTTTAGTAAGATAATAAGGGAATTCTTTAGGATATAACTAAAAAGTTTTTGTCATAAATATAGATCTTAAAAATAAAAATAAACAAAATAAATTTAAAATTTTATCAAAAATAAGTGAATATACACTTATATCTTTTGATTAACTAATCGTAAATTTTTTTGTTTAAAATTAAGAAATAGAGTTTTGGGGACATGATTTCAAATTTAAAAAGAAAACTTAAAATTTTCCACAAAAAAATGATATTTTAGTCCTTTTAGTTTTTGAAGTCTATTATTGTGTAAAAGATTTAACAGATCTATTTGAGAAAATTATCCAAATAATAAATGTTGAATATTTTTTATAAATTTATATGATTTTATAAATATTTAATTTAATTAATGCCAGTTAAAAAATCGGATCGTGTTTTACTGAAAAGTATAAAATTTTAGGATCTTAATTTTTAACTCACAACATAACTAAAGTTTGGGGAAAAAAAAAGGGAAATTGCCAGAAATAACACTTTCAAGATACCACTTTTCAACTTTACACTAACCAACTTTACCATTAAAATTTTAGTACTCAAAATACTATTAGAATTTAGAGTTTTGGGTTTTGGGTTTAAGATTGATAGTTTAGGGTTTAGTGTTGATTTTTAGGTTTTGGGTTTACTTTTTAGGGTTTAGAGTTTATGATTTAAGGTTTAGAATTGATATTTTAGGGTTTAGGGTTGATTTTTAGGGTTTATGGTTTACTTTTTAGGGTATAGAGTTTAGAATTGATGTTTTAGGGTTTAAGGTTAAAATTTTATTTAATATTTATTTTATGTATATATATAAAGAATAAAGATATAAGAGTCTTTTATCATTTAATAAAATGTATATTTTTGAAAATGTTCATTTGTTGATAGTAAACATGAAAAGTGGTACCACCAAAATGGTATAATTGAAATTCTCCAGAAAAAAATGTAACTCGTCACAAAGCCCTCATACTATTTGACCCGGATTTGACATCACCTTTACATTACGTACCGTTATTTTACAAGGAAATATATAGTTGTAATGGAGATATTCACATACCGTTTGTCCTCTAGTCTCTCCCCTGTTTGTAGAAAATTAAGGCTTAAGGGTTTCTCCTTGTTTTAACTTAACGTACATAACAAAAATATTTTTGGGAAATTATCAGAAATAACACTTTCAAGATACCACTTTTTAACTTTATACTAACCAATTTTACCAATTAAATTTTAATACTCAAAATACTATTATAATTTAGGGTTTAGAGTTTTGGGTTTAGGATTGATAATTTAGGGTTTAGTGTTGATTTTTTAGGGTTAAGGGTTTACTTTTTAGGGTTTAGAGTTTAGGGTTTAAGGCTTAGAATTGATATTTTAGGGTTTAGGATTGATTTTTAGGATTTAGGGTTTACTTTTTAGGGTCTAGAGTTTATAATTGATGTTTTAGGGTTTAGGGTTAATATTTTATTTTATTTAATATTTATTTTATGTATATATATAAAGAACAAGGATATAAGAGTCTTTTATCCTTTAATAAAATGTGTATTTTTGAAAATGTTCATTTGTTGATGGTAAACATGAAAAGTGGTACCACCAAAGTGGTATAATTGAAATTCTCCCAATATTTTACTCAAGGCCGACGTTGGGCAAAGCCGGATGAAACATTAGCCTCGACCTCCAAATTTTTTTGAAAAATTTACATGTATATTGGCCCCCTAAAAAAAAATTTTTGGGCTCCCAAATCCGTAGAAAATTTTTTTTTATGTGAAATCGTTTAAAAATCGCCTTAGGCCCCATAATTCTCAGAGTCGGCCTTGATTTTACTACTACTACTAAGTTAGTAACCACATTTCCTGTTCATTTAATTCTTCTGATTATAATGTTGACTTACATAAAAACATTTGATTCATTTTTTTATTTTTGACTATTTCATTCTTGTTTTCATAATTACTAGAATACGATGAATATGTAAAGTCGGAAACACTGGCTACGTTTCTTTGAACTTTGACCCAATGCGGAACTTTCGATAGCCCGCCAGCTTGGAATTTCAGTTATTCCTCATTTTCATTCATATATAAAGGGACACAATTTACATGCTTCATTTCATATTTGTATAATGGGTTGCAAGTTACATGATTCCTTTCAGATTAATCGTTATGTTCAAGGAGCTTTGTGATGTAATTACCTAAAACAATGTTGTGCGACATAAGACAGCACATTTTTGTCAATTAGAGAGTATTAATATTCTTAGGGAGAATTTCAATTATACCATTTTGGTGGTACCATATTTCATGTTTACCATCAACAAAAGAACATTTTCAAAATTATACATTTTATTAAAGGATAAAAGACTCTTATATCCTTGTACTTTATATATATACATAAAATAAATATTAAATAAAATATTAACCTTAAACCCTAAAACATCAATTCTAAACTCCAGACCCTAAAAAGTAAACCCTAAACCCTAAAAATCAACCCTAAACCCTAAAATATCAATTCTAAACCTTAAACCCTAAACTCTAAACCCTAAAAAGTAAACCCTAAACCTTAAAAAATCAACACTAAACCCTAAACTATCACTCCTAAACCCAAAACTTAATCCCTAAATTCTAATAGTATTTTGACTATTAAAATTTTAATGGTAAAGTTGGTTAGTGTAAAGTTGAAAAGTGATATTATGAAAGTGTTATTTCTGGCATTTTTCCATATCTTTACAAGGACTGATCTATCAGTTACGATTTGAATACGGTAACGCTTCATTTTGCTTTGCACACAACTTAAATGAAACCTGTAAATCAAGGTGACGTGGGTATTGAAACCAAAAGAACAAATATTACTAAAAATAAATGAAAGTGTCTCTATTAAAGGGGGAATAAATGGGAAAAATAAAAGATGAGGGGTCAAATCTAATAGAAAGAAATAATAAAAGAAAGAGTTTTCCATGGCGAGGACGGTTTGGTCGGTCGGTGGCTCATCTGGTGGTGTGGGCCTTGTCACACTACCTTTTATGCCATCAGCCAGCCATTCAAGCCATCTCCTCTCTTTTTGTTTTTCTTCTGATCTGTCCAAATTACAAATCTGCCCTTTCTTTTAAGCCTTTATTGTTTCCCTAACACATAGATATCAATCATAAAAGTTTACATATGTATTTTATACTCCCTTCTCTTCCTTTTAATTGTGTTTTAGGTTTTTACATACAAATTAAGAAAACAATTAATTTGCATATTTTCAAAATAAAAACACATTTACCTCTAAACACATTTACCCACATTTCAACCAATAAAAAATAAAATGACATTTAACATCAATAAATTTTGCATTGAAATTATAAAATGACACTTATTTTGAAACAAAAATTTTACTCTAAAACGACATCTAATTTGAAACAGAGGAAGTATAAATCTACACTCCTCTATTTCATTAAGATTAATACACATAGACTACAAAAATACAATATTTATAAAATTTATCTTGATGCATAAAAATATATATTTTGGAATTAGTCACAAATCATAAACAACATTAAATTTTTATCTAAAATAAAAAGAACATCACTTATTATAAAACGAAATAAGAATCTTAAAATACCAAGTAAATAAAATAAAGGAATTATCATTTATAAATTTATGATATTTTAATCAATTAATAAATGAAATTCTTAAAAGTTTTAACCAAATCTTTTAATTTTTAAAATATTAGTCCACTACATTATAAAAGCATAAAACCCTTACTAAATCCGTTATTCTTAATCTCTAAACTTTATTCATTTTGTCAAGCCCTTTATCAAAAGAAAAAAAACTTTATTCATTTTGTCTTTGTCAATAATCTCTTCATATTCTAGCCATAACGTTAATTACAATACTAAAATTTTGGTCATCAATAAAGAGAGCTAATAAATCGGGTTTGAGCTATTTCGGGGTTAGAGTGATAATAACAGAAACTAAAGGGCAAAATGGGAACTAATAAAAAAAGTCGACGGTCTCCTCGTCCGCCATTATTCGTCATTCAAAATAGATACGAATCGGTCTCACACTCTGTCCACTTTATAAACCCTAAAAGATTCTCTCTCTCAAACCCAATTTGCACTTCTTCGTCATCATCTACTCTTTTCGTTTGTTTCTTCCAGCTCCGAAACAGAGTAGCATCTCAGATTCAGCAGATTCGCTTGGTAAGCTCTTCTGAGTTGTTCTTAATAGTTGATGAATCCTCTTAGTTCTATATCGTTATCATCTGTCGTGATCTTCTGGATATCTAACCGATCATAAATGCTTTAGATTCTTTTTAAAAATTTTGGTTTGTAAAAGAAAAAGTTTTGTTGGGGCGACTCTTCGTCTCCTTCTTAGTTACTGATCCTTGTTTGATTTTTGAAACTGATCGATCCTATCTCTCTGTTTAGATCTTTAAAAAATCGAAATCATTTGCGATTAAATGCTTATGCTACCGAATCAAATCAAATCGTAGTCAAGTAGTAGTAGTGTTTCAATCTCAGGATCTCTTTTGTTGTGAAATAATTAAGAAGTTCACCTAACACTAAACGGTGAAATTTTAGTTTTAACTCTTTTTGATCATGGTAGTGGTAAGTTCTATATTATACTAATCTCAAAAGTTTATTTTTAATAACCATATTAATAATAAACGGTAATTCCTTTTGGGTGTCAAATAAAATAAAGAAGCTTACTTGCAACCTTAGTGATATATATGTCACTATCGATATAGGCAACGAGTAGACCAATATAAGTTAGACAAATCGAGAAAAACTTATCCAAAATTAGAAATAATTCCTCTTTGGATCGAATATTCTTGTGTGTTTTTAAACAATAAGATGGAAAATGAAACTTTGTTTGGATATTGGGACAACCGAAAAAGTAGTTGTGTGATTTCTGATGTATTGTATTCCACCTTATGATCTTAAAATTAATGGGCTTTTTCCTTAAGTTATTTTCTGCTTTAACCAAAGATCTTGTATGATCTACTTGTTAAATGATAAATCTGACGTTACAAAAGTTATAGAATACAAATGAGTTTTTCGGAGTTTTTTGTTTTCTTGTTATGAAATACTCTGGCCCATGAGTCACCGCTCCATCTGGTCGGCTTACCTTATGCTTCTTTTCTTTCCCATATAAAATATAGATTCAAACAATTATGTATCATTTTTTTTATCAAAAAATTTTGTATCATATAAATGTTCTTTTTGCTCTGTAATAATTTTCGTGGATCCTTTTTTTTCTGTTAATAATGATCAAAGCATTTTTCTATCTAAAAGAAAGAAACTTTGATGTTGCTGGTTTGATGGCCACTTTACACCTTAACTTATCTTTAGTTTTGTTTGGTAGGGATTTTATTAATAATATACACATGCTTTATTCATTTGTATCTTTGTGGAGTTTGTTAGGTGTTAAAACAGATCTAAACTCTGATTACATCACATGCCACAACCCATAGTACCTATTGATCTTTGTTTTCTCCTGATTGTTTAGGATTGTTTAGCTTTTTGATCTAAACACATGTCATTTCTTGTAAAATAATAAATCTAAAACGAAACTGGAAATCTTTTATTGAATTGGTATTTGAATTAGTTGTAACAAGCGATGATGTATCCCGGTTGACTTTACAATAAGTATCTTATCTTCTTTGGTTTCTATATTTATTTTGGAAATTAGAATTCTCTTTCTTGCAAGCTAGTGTTTCTGTCTCATTTATTTTTGTAAACTATTCTTAATATGATATAAAGTAGAAGTATATATTTCTTCTCATGCGTGACCTTTTTTATATATTCTACAGAACTAAATAAAAGTAATCAGAATTGCTTGATCAAATCATGGAGGAAGCAACTCAAGTAGCGAGTTCCGAGGTTCCTGTAGTGAAAGGAGATGCTGATGACCTTAAGACAATTGATGTTTCCATCAAGGTAATGAGTGTTCTGTTTCACAGATTCATATGTTTGCTTATGACTTCAGTGACTTTTTAATTCTGTGAGTCTTGCATAAGATTTAAGTATGGTTTTGCTCGATCTATTGCAGCCTGTGAATGGAGATGTGACAAAGGAAGGTAAAGAAGAGGATGACGGAGAGTTCATAAAAGTTGAGAAGGAAGCTTTTGATAAAGCAGACCATGTTCCTGTTCAAGAGGAAAAGCAAGTTTCAATTGAAAGAAGCTCGAGTGGTTCACAAAGACAACTACATGAATCACAAGAAAAGGCGAAGGAGCTAGAGCTTGAATTGGAAAGAGTAGCAGGGGAACTGAAACGGTATGAATCTGAGAATACCCACTTGAAGGATGAGCTTTTGTCTGCGAAAGAGAAGTTGGAAGAAACGGAGAAGAAGCATGAAGAGCTCGAAGTTGTCCACAAGAAGCAGCAAGAGAAAGTTCTTGAAGGAGAAGAGAGACACAGCTCTCAGTTGAAGTCCTTGGAAGATGCTTTGCAGTCTCATGATGCCAAAAATAAGGAACTAACTGAAGTTAAGGAAGCTTTTGATGCATTGGGGATAGAACTCGAGAGCTCACAAAAGAAGTTGATAGAGTTGGAGGAAGGGCTAAAGCTTTCAGCTGAAGAGGCTAAGAAATTTGAAGAGCTGCATAAACAAAGCGCTTCTAATGCTGACTCCGAGATTCAGAAGGCTTTGGAGTTGGCACAGTTGCTTGAGTCGACGAAAGAGAGTGCTAAGGAAATGGAGGAAAAAATGTCGTCTCTGCAGCAAGAAATCAAGGACTTGAATGAGAAGATTTCTGAAAATGAAAAGGTTGAAGCTGCCTTAAAGAGTAGTGTTGGAGAGTTAGCTGCAGTGCAAGAGGAATTGGCACTTTCAAAATCTCGTTTGCTGGAGACGGAACAAAAAGTGTCTTCCACAGAAGCCCTCATTGATGAACTGACTCAGGAACTTGAGGAGAAGAAATCTTCTGAATCTCGGCTCAAGGAAGAGTTATTGGTTCTTGGTGATTTGGTTGTTCAGACCAAAGATCTTCAGGCTAAACTCTCTGAACAGGAAGGCATTACTGCAAAGCTTGGAGAAGAACTCAAAGAGAAGGAACTTCTGGAATCTTTGTTGAAAGACGAGGAAGTGAAGCTGACAGCTGCAAATGAGAAGTTAGCCGAAGTATTGAAAGAAAAAGAAGCACTTGAAGCAGATGCAGCAGAAGTTTCAAGTAATGCAGCGAAAGTAAAAGATATCTGCAGTGAACTAGAAGAGAAACTGAAGACCTCAGATGATAGTTTCTCCAAAGCAGATGCTCTTCTGTCTCAAGCTTTATCAGACAAATCTGAACTTGAGCAGAAACTTAAGTCACTGGAGGAGCGTCACAATGAAACTGAAGCTGTGGCAGCATCTGCTACTCAGAAGAATCTTGAGCTCGAGGAAGTTGTTCGGTCTTCTACTCAAGCAGCAGAAGAAGCAAAGATGCAGATAAAAGAGCTGGAGACACAGTTCACTGCAGCTGAACAAAAGAACGTGGAGCTAGAGCAGCAACGGAACTCATTACAACTGAAAAGCACTGACGCAGAACAGGAACTGAAACAAATGTCTGAGAACGTATCTGAACTTAAAACAGCTGTTGAAGTTGCCGAGGAAGAGAAAAAACAAGCAACCACTCAGCTGCAGGAATACATAGAAAAAGCATCTGAATTAGAATCTTCTCTAAACCAATCATCCGCCAGAAATTCAGAGCTTGAAGAAGATTTGAGAACCGCTTTGCAGAAGGGTGCAGAGCATGAAGATCGTGCTAATACGACTCACCAGCGCAGCATTGAACTTGAAGGTCTGTGTCAGGCATCACAGTCCAAACATGAAGAGGCAGAAGGAAGATTGAAAGATTTAGAGCTTCTACTCCAGACAGAAAAATACAGAATTCAGGAGCTTGAGGAGCAGGTTACCACGCTAGAGAAAATGCGTGGGGAAACTGAAGCAGATTCCAAAAGTTACTTGGGACAGGTGGCTGAGCTTCAATCCACAATCGAGGCGTTCCAAGTGAAGAGTTCGAGTCTTGAAGATGCTTTAAACACTGCAACTGAGAAGGAGAAAGAACTGACAGAAAATCTTAACGCTGTCTTGGGTGAGAAAAAGAACTTGGAAGATACAGTGAGTGAGTACAGCGTGAAGATCAGTGAGTCTGAGAATCTGTTAGAAAGTCTCAGGAATGAGTTGAGTGTCACACAAGGAAAGTTGGAGAGCATTGAAAACGATCTTAAAGCTGCTGGCTTGAAGGAAAGCGAAGTAATGGAGAAGCTGAAGTCTGCTGAAGAGAGTCTTGAGCAGAAAGGAAGAGAGATAGATGAAGCTATGACGAAAACCATGGAGCTTGAAGCTTTGCATGAGTCATTAAGTAAAGACTCTGAGCATAGAATCCAAAAGGTGATGGAGGAGTTCACTAGCAGAGATTCAGAGGCCAATTCTTTGGCTGAGAAATTGAAAGGCCTCGAGGAGTTAGTAAAATCATATGAAGAGCAGTTGGCTGAAGCATCTGGAAAATCTTCTTCTTTAAAAGACGAACTTGATCAGACTTTGGCAAAACTTGCCGCTGCGGAAACAGTTAATGATAAACTCAAACAAGAGTTTGATCAGGCACAAGAAAAGTCCTTGCAGTCATCATCAGAAAATGAAATATTAGCTGAGACAAGTAACCAGCTCAAGATCAAAATTCAAGAGCTTGAAGGGTTACTTGGTTCTAGTTCTGTTGAGAAAGAAACGGCCATGAAACAGTTGGAAGAGGCAAATGAAAGGTTTAACCAGAAAGACACAGAATTTAAGGAGGTCGTTGAAAAGCTAAAAGAACATGAAAACCAAGTCGAGGAGCACAAAAGTCTTGCTCATAAAGCGTCAGGAGTTGCAGATACTAGAAAAGTTGAGCTTGATGAGGCTCTATCAAAATTGAAGAGTCTTGAATCTACTATTGAAGAGCTAAAGGCCAAGTGTGATGTTCTTGAGAAAGAAAATGGGGATCTGGCTGAAGTAAATTTAAAGCTGAACCAGGAACTAGCAAATCATGGATCAGAGGCCAACGAGTTGCAGACAAAGCTCTCTACTCTGGAGGCTGAGAGGGAGCAAACAACAAAAGATCTGCAGGCTTCAAAAACAGCCACAGAAGATCTAACAAAGCAGCTTACCTCTGAAGGGGAGAGATTGCAGTCACAGGTAAATAATAATACCATCTACATATTGACACAGTTTTGTTATTTAGTACAAGGTTTGTGAAAATGACACCACTTTATTGTGTTGCAGATCAATTCCCTTACCGAGGAGAACAACCAAGTTAATTCGATGTTTCAAAGTACTAAGGATGAGCTACAATCAGTTATTGCAAAGCTTGAGGGACAAGTAACCGTAGAGAGGTCTAAAGCTGATACTTTGGTGTCTGAGATTGAGACGCTCAGGGCAGTGGCTGCTAAAAAGTCTGTTTTGGAATCACATGTTGAAGTACTTGAACAGACTTTGAAAAATTTCGAAACTCAGTTGAAAGAAGAGGTAATTAATGCACTCATATAAAACTGTTGTGATAGGATCTATATATAACAGTAATGGTATTAATGTTTCTGCAGGTTGAAAACGCAACGGATGCGTCTGTAAAAGTGGCAGAACTGACCTCAAAACTCCAGGAAAAGGAACATATCGCTAGTGACCGAGATGTGCTCAATGAGCAAGTGCTTCAGCTTCAAAAAGAGCTTCAATCGGCTCAGAGTTCCATTGATGAACAGGTTAGTGGTTTTTCTTCTGTTTTTATATCTCACATATGCTTAGTGATTCTTTAGACTCTGATATCTTTTCCGTGGAAACAGAAACAAGCACACTCTCAAAAGCATTCAGAGCTGGAGTCTGCACTAAAGCAATCACAAGAAGAGATTGAAGCTAAGAAAAAGGCGGTCACTGAATTTGAATCAATGGTCAAAGATCTTGAACAGAAAGTGCAGCTTTCGGATGCTAAGACTAAGGTCAGTCATAAAATTTCCACTCAGAATTTTGTTTGATTGATAACATACATAAATGCATGCAATCCATATATCTCATAACATCTAAAAGGCACCTTACATTATAGACTTCTATGATCACTTATATGTTTCAAATCCAAACTTTGCAGGAGAATGAGGCAAAGGATGTAGGTATTAAATCTCGAGACATTGACTTGTCCTTCTCTTCTCCAACCAAACGTAAGAGCAAGAAGAAGTCAGAGGCATCTCCGTCTTCTTCTTCTTCTCCGGGCAACGTTACTGCGACTACTCAGACGGCTTCAACTTCGCATCTCATGACAGTGAAGATCATGTCTGGAGTGGCTCTGGTTTCGGTTATAATCGGTATAATTCTTGGGAAAAAGTATTAAGACTCTTCTGGTGTGGTGTGATGTTCATATGTGATGATCTCTCCTTTTTTATTTTGGGGTTTTTAATTTTGATCAAACTCTCTCATAAGGTCATGAGAGATAGATGTAATGCGTAGCGGAGTTTATGATGCTCTTCAGATTGATTTTGGTTTTCGTTTTTTTGGGTTGGTGGTTTTCTTTTTTCTGGCTTGTAGGTCAAGCAATGTTCTTCTAGTACTCTAAATTTAAAAAAAAAAGAAGTTAATTGATTTATTCCTCTGTATTTCGTACTCGCGGCCTGAACATTTGAACCTAGCCCTGTTCGTTTTTAGAACGCTGCGTCAAAAACCAGCGGCCAAAATTATAAAAGGATTTTAAACGACAGCTCAGCAACTAATAAGAACAGAGGGTTGGAATATGCTAATTGTTCGACGCTAGCGACAGCTCAAGGTATGTGCGGGAGACGCTGATTTAAACAGCGGCCATAAAATAAAAGAAAGGAAGAGCAGCGACACTCGCCGGCGGCAACTCTGTAACAACACTCCACTGAAATTCCTCTCTCATGCTTGTTATTTTTTGGTCGCTGTTCTCTGACGCGCGTTAGAGAAACGAACAGGGGTAATCTGAACTGGATTATCAACTATAAAACCCGTACTCGATAGTGGCATTTCTGATATCGGGTATTATTTAAATTCGATTCATATATTCAGATTTTTAATATAAATTTGAAAAATTGACTCGAAATTTTGAATAATTATGTGAAATGAGTTTTTGATATTTCAAATATCTGATTTCCTATTTATTTTGATCTGACTGTTTAAAAAATAATTTACAATCGCACCTAACATATCAAACCCAAGATGAGCTAAAAACGTGAAGGAGGTCTATAAGAAGCTTAATAAAAAAACCTGAAAATTAACTAGTCCGAGTCAACTCGAAATGGTTATTTTCATGGAAAGAAAAACCGGTCCAAGACAATCCAATTGAACAGATTAATTTAAAGTAAAACCCGGTTCACTCGACCCGCGCTGCCTATATAAACCACTCCACTAACTGTCTCCTTCCTCAACTTCCTCCTCTCTTCAACTTTCAACACAGTGAGAAGAAAAGAAAAATGACTCTAACTCTAAGCATGGCGGAAACCCTAGATTCTCTCATCGACAACCCCCAAGAAACCGATTACTCCTACGCTCATCCCGATGAAGAAGTCAACACTAACAACATCGATCTCTCTCTCCTCCGCATCAACAGCTTCGGAAACTCCTCCGATCGCCGCCGCGCGAACTCATCTCCTCCGCAGTTTCCATCGCACGGATCTTTCGGCTCTTCTTCAACCGCCGCCGCAACCACCAGCCCCGTGAAACGCCCCTCCCCGGAGTCTAAAGAAGCCGATGAGCCTAGACGCAAGAAGCTCTTTCTTCCCCCACCGCCACGTGACGCTGAGGATGACCATACGATGTCGAATCGCATGGGATACTCTAAGATTCCTCTTCCTGTGGATTCTAACCCGACGCGAGTCCGTCCCATCTACAGACGATCTCTCTCCGATACATTTGCTTCCCGAAGCCGTGTCGCTCAAGAAACAGCACCTTCTCTTCCTCCGCGGCCTCCGGTTTTCCGGAGGTGCGTCTCTGATGTTTCACCGGGACCTTCGAGGGGGATTCAAGAAACTTCTGAAGCCAATAAGGTTAATTATAAGAGTTTTTTTTTTGTTATTCGTTTTTTTTTTGTGATTTAGGGTTTCTGATGTTGTTGTTGATCATCAGATGCTGTATGCTATCAAGAATGGAGTTGTTGAATTGGATCAGTGGTGTAATAAGCTTCTACAGTACGGTGAATTGGTTTCTTCTGTGAAACGAGATGACACTGACCCTAAGGTTTGATTCTTGATGATTCAAAGATGTTAGTTTCTTGTTGAGCAAGGAAAGCTAATCCAAAGATTTTGACCATTGGCAGCGTCTTATCAAGGAGGGAGTTCGTGAACTGGATCAGTGGTGTAACAAGCTCATCAAGTACGGTGAAGACAGTCCTAAGGTTCGAATCCAATCAACAAGATTCTCGGTGAAATCTATTAAGAACATTTTTTTCTACGTATAGTCTTGTGAACTAAAAGACTCTTCTTTTGGCACGATGATATTGTTATTTTGTTGTGCAGGAAGAAGATGAATCACAAGAGGGGGAGGGCCAAGAGAAAGAGTGTAAAGAAGGAGTGAAGGTGGACAGAGTTGGTGAGGCCTTTGTGGTTGAGATCAACTGTCCTTGTGGTAGAAACTACAGAACTCTCTTCTCTGGCCGTGACTGCTACTACAAGCTCTTGTAGACATGGTTTTGACCGTATGTGGAAGGATCTCTCTCTCTCATGAGCTCGTAACGCTACTACTACTAGCTAGTTATACACATTTTGTTTGTTTCATTCGTATTGTTTGGTACAGATTGTTCCATACGCTTTGTTTCATAGATACTATTCTATACACATTGTTTTAGTGTTATACTCTTGTTACCATCATTCATTGAAATGGATGTGATTTTTGTGTGTATGTGTGTGTTTGATATCAGGCGAATAATTTCAAAAACAAAAGAAAAATATAATTTACCTTTGACCTAAATTAGCTATCTTTTCACAGATAGTGCTACAGTCTCCAAGTTTAACAAGAAAAGTTTTCTTAAAAAAAAAATGTAAATTCATAACTACTCGCTAATGTTGGAGGCAAGCGACATAAATTCATGCACCATTTACCAACTTGTACACCAAATTTTGCTTATGTATTGAAGAATGTTTGAGTTAATTTATGCAAATTTTAACTGGTTACTGAATAATTCAGAATAGAAATCAGCCCTATGTTTTTCAACCATGGAGGTGAGATTGACAGAAACATCAAACATGGTAGAAAGACTTTCCGTCACCGGCTGATCCGAAAATCTTGATCGAATCACGAGCATGGATAGATGGGTTTGGGTTTGATCTTGGACTCGCCGAAGGATGATAAACCAGATCAATATACGTACTTACATGTGGAATGACTCGACATCAATCTCCGAAATGCGATGTCATTTATTTAGTTATTTCGTAATAATGATCGAATCTCAGAAAGTTCAATTGTTCAATCAACTTTAGATATTCCTTTTTATAAAGTTTCAGTTAAATTGTGGTTTAAGAGATATGTTTAAATGTTCTCTTCGAGTATATATATAATCGTGTACCAGATGTTTATGTTCTGAAACAGATAATCAAATCTGTATTGGTTTTGGTGTAGGGAGCTGGTGGACCAGAGGATGAAGATAACTGATGGCCACCATTCCTGAAACCTCTGCTTAAAGAGAAGTTCTTTGTTCACTTCTTCATGTAGACTCTCACAAGGGTGATTGCAATATGTATTACTTAGACTGCACACCAACGGCGAGCTTTTCTCTCTTTGTCTTTCCCATCACAAAGATCACCTCACCATCCAATCCAAGTGCATTCTTGCTATAATCTTAATTAGTTTTTTTGGTTGGTTGTTCTCTGTGGTTTAGGTTTTGAATTTGTATTGATTGGTTTTGGTCTTTAGGTCTATATATCAATAGCTTGCCACAATGCTTGGATCCACAACTTGACAGTATTTTATCCCTCATCCAATCAGTGAATCTCCACTTATAAAAAAAGGTAAGCCTCATCCCTTGAAAATCATCTTCAGATTCCACTAGCACTAGAAATTTCACAGTATAAGTTTTTTTATATGGATTGACAACGACTAGAGTGTTTGGAAAAGGTTAATGGAGGAGACGGTGGTGGTGGTAGCCAACATCATGACGGCACTGAAACTGATAGGAAGAAGAAATGTTACCATCGTCACACCGCTCAACAGATTCAATTACTTGAATCGTGTTTTCTTCTCTCTCTCTATCTCTTTTTTTTTTTTTTTTTTTTTTTGATTCATACACTCTTATAATGGTTTGAATCTCTTGCGGGATTTTCAAGGAGTGTCCTCATCCAGATGATAAGCAGAGAACCAACTTAGCAGAGAATTGGGGTTTGGCTCCAAGACAAATCAAGTTATGGTTCCAGAACAGAAGAACTCAGCTTAATGTTATGTGTCTTAATGTATCTCTCTTTTGTGTGTTTAAAATTTTGTCTGAATAAGATTTGTTGATACTGTTTCTGTAGGCACAACATGAGAGAGCAGATAACAAATGCACTAAAGGCAGAGAAAGACAAGATTCGATGTGAGACCATAGCCATTAGAGAAGCACTCACGCATGCTATATGCCCTAACTGTGGATGTCCTCCCGTTAGTGAAAATCCTTACTTTGATGAGCATAAGCTCCGGATAGAAATTGCACATCTTAGAGACGAGGTTTTGTTTATTGATTATGGTTTAATCAGTCAAGCCCCCTCCTCTTCTAAGTTTGATCTTTATTGCACAGCTTGAAAGAATGTCAACAGTTTACAGTTGCATCAAAGTACATTGGAAGACCATTCTCCTCCCACCTCTCCACGCTACACCCAATGCAAATCTCACCGTTGGATCTGTCCATGACTGGTCCTTCACTGGATTTTGATCTTCTTCCAGGGAGTTCTATGCATTCTCAATTTAATAACTTGGCTACTATATTACTTACAATCTCATCTATCCAAGATTTTTTATACAATAAAACACCATAAAAAAATATATGGAATGTAAACCTATCAAACAAGCCACAAACAAAACGAAAATTAATAACCGAGATCATATGCAAGCCTCTTATGAACATCATTGCTTTGGCTGCGATGGAAGAATTGCTTATGCTTTTTAACACAAACGACCTCTCTGGACTAGAGCTGATGGTGGTGGCGGCAGAGACGTTCTCAATTTGATGCTCACTATGTTTGCAGAGTTTAATTGACTATAAAAGCGGTGCTGGTCAATGCTTCCTCAGGAAGTAAGATGCTCAAATAATAGTCTGTTAGTTACGATCATGAAAAGCAACAAAATCGACAGATGCGGGACAGGCTGCTCTCACTTTCACCGTCTCCTACCGATGCTCACTCTCTTCTGGAGCTTTACTTTTGGTTTATTGCTCCATTTAGCTAATGTTGCTTTTGTTTCTTTTATTCCTTTTCATGTTCTTTTCTTCTCTGTTGTTTCTTGTGCTTGTAATAAGTTGCTTTTGCAACAAGTAAAACTCAGAAAATGGTTATAAAATTTTAACATTTTGACCAAAAAAAAAAGCAACAAAATCGTGGTCTAGATTCTCAATGGTGCATGTATAATAGTATTTAACTTCAGAAGATTATACAAAGACTGTCTCAGATTTTTTAAGAATGATACAATCAGTTTATGGTTACATGGTTTGAACCTCTCGCACTAATTATATCTTTGTCCATCAGGCTCACTTGCACGAAATCTCTAATCCCTTTTGTCGCTATTATTTCTTGTATCAATGTAAAGATAAAAAGGTCATGGTTATTTTCATGAACTTTGAATGAATTCAGTCATGAGAGGTTGAGCATTCAGTATATGGAATATATTACTAGATTTGCCTCAAAGTTGTTTTGAATGAATGAATCAAGGACAATTTCTTATGAAAATTATATTCATCGACGCACATGAATCATAAAAAATGTTACGCAAATCATAAAAGAAAATTAATCTTTAGTTACCCATTTTTTGTTTACAAAACCTATTTTACAATATTATAAATTTCATGATACAATAGACACATTTTCTATATTATAAATATTCAAAATCATATATTAAATATAATATGAAATAAAATACAATGTATAATGAAGTAATTATATATATGTATATATATAAATGAAAAATTTACTAAATTAAATCAGTTAAACTTAGCACAGATAAACTAATATAATTTTCTTCATTTACAAATAACTACAAAATATTCAATTAAAACTATTAAAATTAAGAAACTAACAGAAAAATAAAAAATAAATAAACTATTTACGTAATAGTAAACAAAGACGTAGATTACATATGCATAAAAAATATCTGCTTTACACTACGCAACGACCTTAAACGAATTAAAATTTGAAACATAATTTTATAGTTATATATTTAAGTGTTAATTTATAATATAAACAGCAGAAAACATTATTTGTAGCCTAACATATGCCGTAACGAATGTAATCATGTTGATCCCAATCCATTCATACAAATGATAATCATGAGAGCCACGAACTTATTCTTAAGAACTTAAAATATAGTAACCACAATCAACCAACCAATTTTAGATTCAAAATTATGAAAAACCATACAAGGAGAGCACCACGTACACCTCATTCACTCAATATAATATGTTACTAGATCTCAATCCGCGCAACTGCGCGGGTATTTGTTTTCATTTATTTTTATATAAACATTTTGTTTTTACTTCTAAATTAATATATACTAGATCGTAACCCGCCCGACTGGGCGGGTCTTTGTTTTTATGGTATAGATAACATTTTAAAATATTATTTAAACATTGTATTTCATTATTGTATTGTATAACAGATGCGTCGTAAAATGTTGTGACCCGTAAACATTTTAGTAATAGTTTATAAAGTTTTTTGACTAAATTTGGTGTAAAATTATATACACTAAATAATTTAGTCAAATTTTTAATTTAATTTTTTAATGAAGAATTT